TGGGGAAAGAGTTCATAACTACTGTCAGCTCAAGATTTGGCTCATATTGTGAAAGATAACTGTGTCCTACCTACTTGCCAACCACTTTAGTCAAGATACAGAATGTTACAAAAGACATGCATCAAGAGAATGGTCAAGACAGATTTTTTTATAGGGAAGTGTGGCAGAACAAGGAGAAGGTAGAGAAAGAGCAGTATTAATGCAAAGCAAACTTCTTGGTGTCACTCAACTTTCTTACACAGCTTTCCTGCTGTAAAACATTGCAATAATAAAATGTAATTGTTGTAGTCAGGGGTTGCAAGGAAAACTATTACATATAAGACATAAAATTTATAATATTATTTATGATTTTGACCCAAAGAGTTAAGTGCAAAGTGCAGGAAACCTGTCCACAAACTAAAGACCTAGAGAACCCAACTGAAGGCCTGGATCCCACAGCAGTGTCCTGCATGAGTTCACCTGAAAATCGAGAGCCCATGACAGTGCCTCCCACGAGACTAACTGGAAGCCTAGAGCCCACAGCAATGACTCATGCTAGTCTATTTCATGGATCTGCATTGGGAAGGCCCAAAGGTCAGTGGTGAAAGCTTACAGAGTCTGTGCCAGTAGAATGAAAGATCTATGCCAGTAGGTTGAAAATTCTGCAATGGAGCCAAGAAGCAATGCTCAAAATAAGGACCAGGGCTCCCCTAAAATGTATCACAGCCATCTTGACCAACAAGAAGGTCCCTAGCTCCTCCAGTGATAACAACCGAATTCGTATCAGGAAGCCAGCATGACATTCTCCTAGAGATTGAACAGTGCACTGTCTTCCCCTCTGGAGCCAGGAAGCATTGCTCAAAGGACCAGCTCCCTCAAAGTAAACCGCAGACATTCTCAGTGACAAGGTCCCAAGCTCCTCCGACGTTAACAGCTGAGTTCCCATCAGGGAAGCCAGCATGACACACTCTCCAGGAGAATCAACAGCTTCAAACAACAACACTTAGGAAAACCTACAATGCTGCTTTTTTCTCTACAGGTTTCCTTTTTATGCTGGCAATAGTCCTTAGGTGAACCATCCATGCTTAGCACCATGCTGATTCAGTACAGCTGGTGTTTAAGTTGACCACCAGTTTTTAATCCACCACAGTGGGAAAGTTGTGATTTATTCAGAATCTACTGCCAAATTAAAACAAGTCAAAAATGTTTATTATGTGAACTATTATTATCTGAAGAGAATAAGTGATTTTCAAATGAGAAGAGCACATTGAGTAGAAACATGTACTGGAAGAAATATTCTTGTGAGCTAAACAGTTTTTGTTTTGTGCCTTTAATAGGTTAAGAAAAACAGTCTGACAAATGGTCAGATTGTACTGGCAGGATGTGGACTATTGGCATGTTAACACACTGATTCCTTATATAGCATCTGTACTTAAATGTCCATAATGGTATCATGGTGTCATGCTCCAAAGACTGTTCCTTTGCTTTAGAGGATGTAGTCTCACTAACCATTACACTCCCAAGGACATTTTCCATGGAATTTCATGACACTGTTTCTATATCAAGAGGTGAAACTATAAACATAGTGGCACATGCCTGTAATTGCAGCACTTGCGAGCTGAGGCAGGAGGAACCACAAGTTCAAGCCTGGGCTACGTAAAAGTCCAAGGCCAGTCTAAAGTAGTGAGACTTTGTCTCAAGAAAACAAAAACTGTAGTAGTGTAGAACATAGTTCTATAAATTGATAAAGACAAGAAATGAATACAAGGGAGGCTTTGCCTATTTGTATTTCCAAGACAAGATAGAAGTAAAGGACCCATATGATACCATCAGATTATGGGACTGCTTTAGGTAGTCTTCCAGGGTCACCATACTATAGACTGAGTAGCTTAGCCAACAGAACTTTATTTTCTCATGTTTTTAGAAGCTGGTAGCTCAAGATTAAAGTGCTAGGGCTGGAGATTTAGCTCAGCGGCATAAGCACCTGCCTTGCAAGCAGGCGGTTGTGAGTTCGATCCCTGGTAAGGGGGGGGGGATTAAAGTGCTAGTAGGGCTGATTTCTCCTGTGACCTTTCATGACTTGTATACCATCTCCCTGTTTACTATCTCTTCCCCAGTCTGAAACCCTTTGGATTTCATTTAACGATGACTCCTCTTCAGAGGGCCTGGCTCCAAATACATTCACATTGAGATTAGCACTTTAGCTGATGAATTTTGGAGGGTCCAATTCAATTCATAATACTTGTAGAGGGTAGAGCATATTGATAAGTACTGACAGACTATGTGATTTGTTGTGCAGCATTGGATTCTGTAAGAAAAGGATATAGTAACCCATGGGCACTCTGATAGGGAGGGTAATGAAGAATCTTTACTAAGTCTTGTGGACCCCAGTACTTCTGAAGAGGTTCTTTCATGTGGACCCTTGTGGAAAATCAGTAAAACTTTTCAGACTTCAGTTTGATGAGCTTCAGATTGTCAGTAGTCTAGAGTATGTCACAAGCCTGGGGTGAGACTTCCAAAATGATGCTGGTCACTAAGCCAAATGTCCCCTACTGTCCTTCTCAATAACCACCTAGCACTCAGATAATTATGTGCTGACATATTTGCATAATACTCATTAAATCTATGCTATTTCACTGGTGTAGATGAACAACAGGAATAAACCTCCACAGAGTTCTTGGAACTGAGGTTTTGAGTGTCATGGAAGGAGCACAGTGGATCTGCAGGTGATCCAGGACAGTTGCTCTTCCTAGCACAGGTGACTAACTGCTGCTGTCCAAAAATGTTTTTTAACTTCCTTTCTTCTATGGTACTTTTTCTCCTGATTTAGTTCTAGACAGAAATGGCCCATAAATACATTTCGTTTTTTTAATAAAAAAAGAAAGAAAAATCAAGGTTGCTTTAGCCAAGTTGTTAAATTCTCTAGACATCAGTTTTTTCATTTTTTGAGTGAAAATAAGAATATAGGCACTCACAGAGCTGCCATGAGGATTCACATGTCATGAGATAACACATAAACCGCTAACATGCCTAGAACGCCTCAGGCATTCCACGCATTTTAATTAGCTTTTCTGTAATTGTGTAAGCTAAGGAACAAAAACAAACATAATACATTTGGAGAAGAAAAAACAAAGGAACTAATGAAAGACTCCATTTTCATATGAGTGATTTAGCATCAACATTCTAAAGTTATAAAGGATTTGTAAACCTAAACAAAGTCCCCTATTACTTATTATAAATTACTGTGCTAGGCAGTATAATAGACATTACATTTGAACCATTTTAATTGTTATCTTTACTGTCCTTACAGCAGTTAATTCCATATGACAGCAGTTAATTCCAAACTTATTCATTAACATTTTCTGTTGGTGTGTTAATAAATGTTGTTGAATTAATTAAAAGTTATCAGAAATGGTTTTATGAACACTGATGGAATCCCTTGCTTGTAACCTTTCTGTGTCTTCCCAGTTGGCCATATGATTGAGTCCAAACTTCTTCAGCATTCGTGATATGACTCTACTTACTCCGTTCCCTTCATTTCCCCAGCTCCTCTATGTTGGCTGTCACTCATAACTCCAGACTCCAATCCTCTTGAGCTGTTTTGGTTTTCTTTTCCCTGTACTCCTACATGCTGTAGAACCTAGCAAGGTACACATCCCCTCTCTACCTGGCTAATTCCTGTTTATCCTTTATCTCTCCTGCAAAGCCTAAATGAAGTACCTCTTCTAAATACACTATTTACCATTATATATTTAGGCCCTAACATAATACAAAGTACATTAGGATTTCAGTATTTTTTAAGTGAATGAATCAGTGCTCAACCTAATTGCAAAGGGCTATAATGATGATCTTCCACTTTGTATAATCCAATCATGTAACCTGTACATTTCAAACCCTTTTTTATTGGTGGTGGTATTCATGGGGGCGGGGGTATTAGTTTTGTTTTGCTTTGCTTTGCTTTGTTTTATAGTCCTAGGAATTGAACCCACTTCTTCATACATGCTAGACTGCTGCTGTCCCCCTGAGCAGTGTTCCCCACATTTTTGGTCTTAAATTTGAGACAAAATTAAGGATCTCTGAATTGTTCAGGCAGTCTTCAAGCTTACAGTCCTCCTGCTTCAGACTCCTAAATAGTTGAGTTTACAAGTTTATACCCCATTTACATTTTCAAGCCTTATTGAAGTAGGGAAGTATTTTTCATTATACATGTTATTATGCCCTGCTGTATCCAGTGCTTCAGATCTAAAATGGATTGAGATCTCCCTCCCTTTAATTGCCATAAAGAATTTTTAAATGATGTGTAATCACTGCCGTGTGATTTTGATTTGAATTTTTCAAAAGACAAAAACATCAAATATAATGATTACTGTAAAACACAAAGAAGCAAATCTCATAGAGAGGGCTTTCCTCTTAAACGTGTACATAGCAAAACTCAGCTCGCATGGATACTTCAAAAAGAAGTCAAAAGATTTGGGCCGTCGATCTAAAACTGAAAAACTATGGTTTTCCTAGAGAAATTTATGACTAGAAAAGAAAAAATGACAATAAACCAAGTGATCACAGAAGAGTTATGCAATCAGATTGTCCTGTAGGGCTTTTCCTTTGGCAAAACTATTAACCTTCTAAAGAATTCCCTTTCAGATGCATCTGCCTGGCACAGAGAATGAGATCTAAAGGTGTAGTATCTTAAAAAAATTTTTTTCTAAGAAAGTAAATGGTGTATAAGCTTTTTAAAAAATTTGCTTCACAGTAATTTACTTTAAAAATTAACATCTGCTATTGTGAAGCTAATCTTGGTGTGTTGGATCCCCTTAACCATTTCTCAATCCCTCAGTCTTTTATCTTGCTTCTCCTGCTGTGTTCCCACCACCCCTGATCCCATTAGCAAACCTTGAGACAGCCTCAGACTTACCAAAGTACTGCTTTGGTTTCAGCTGCTGTTCTGCAAGAGGAAGTGAGTGTTGGGGGTTTCTCTGTGGCACAGTTGTGATAAAGCTGTGGTGGTCTTATCTCTCTTTTAGGTAGTGGCTCTTTATGACTATACAGCAAGCCGATCAGATGAACTAACCATCCATCGCGGAGACATTATCCGAGTGTTTTTCAAAGATAATGAAGACTGGTGGTATGGCAGCATAGGAAAGGGACAGGAAGGCTATTTTCCAGCTAATCATGTGGCTAGTGAAAGTAAGTTTTATGCTCCCTTCCTGGTTTACTAATATGGTATAACTGACAGTCCAAGATTTTGTCACTTTCTACTCTTTAATTTACTATCTTTTTAATCTTTTCCTGTGTTTACCAATAGTTATAACTTTTCAGACTCATGATGCAAAATATAAAAAGGGGAGGCACTAATGTGTCAGAAAGCTGTCTCATTCTGAGATTGGAATTATTTGCGGATTGCACTTGTCGTCCCAGGGGACTTGCCCCTCAAGCTACCAGCTTGCTTCTTCAGCTCTTGTACCCTGCCACCTGCTGCTGCACACAGTTTTGTCCCCTCTTCTCTTGCCACACTGACTCCTCTATTGACCAGCATCTTACAAGCCTCTAGTTCCTCAACTCCTACTCTTTCATTTTGTGTATCTCAGTCCAAGCTGGCTACTTAATACAGCAAAAGTACAGTGGCTTCATTCTTAAATACTCTATGCCTCCATTTGTAAAAGAAAAAATATGAGCTAAAGACAAAATTCTATGAGTTTCTGAAAGCTGTGAATTCAGTACTAGGTTTTGAGGGTGAAAATAGAACTAACAGAAAGCTTTAAAATAAAATAATTTAAACCTATCACAAAAGGAGAAAACTAAGAAGTAGGGCTTATTAGAAGAATGCATCCTATCATCAATTAACTTGATACCTTGGTAAGAAAAGCACAACACACAGGCATCAGAAAAACAAATTTCTAATCCTTGCTCAACAGGTTATACTGATGTGCCTCAGTTTCCTCCTGTGAAATGAAGATGTTGAGATTTATCAACTCTAAACTGTCTTCCAGAAACATTAAAGTGTAATAACATAATAGTAACATAAAAATGTGGTTTGGGCTTAAAATGAAAACACTCTATGTTTTCAATATATATTGTTAATCTTTGCTTCTGAGAAGAAGTAATTATTACAAATAATAGTTGGTTTTCAGATTAGTCCATGAAATCCCATTTGACCCAAACTATGATTCCTAACCTAAGTTATCACTTTTGTAAAAAAATGATCTGAAGAAAAGGAGAATTTCTTTTTTGATTACTCAATGCACAGATAGGCCTAGGTTATTATTTATCTGTGACATCCTGCCTGTACCTGATCCTTTGCCATACTCTGCAGTCTCAAGTGGCCCCACGTCTCTTTGCAGCTCTCTTCTTCAACCTACAAAGGGTAATGCAAAAATACAATGAATGTATAGAATTTTTTAATGTATTACAATAGAAGACACACACCATTAGTCTCCCTCAAAGTACTCCTCCTCACTTCAAGCACATTTATCCTGTCATTCTTGTGATTCACTGAAGCAATTCTAGAATTGTCTTATGAGAGTCTTTAAAAAGCATGATCAACAATTCAGTGAATGCCACTGCAGAGGGCCATCCAGTAGAAAGGTAGGCTTGTAAAAAAACATTACAGTGTGTCTGTCATGTCTTGTCTTATTCATGGGGTTTGGGCCTCACAACCTCTGGCTCTTCCTCCAAGTCCAGTGAGTGTGAAAGGTAAACATTTTTAACTGATTCATGACATCAAGGCAGCTGTCACACCACAATTACTAAAGACACTCAAGACAAAGGACTTCTGCTTTTACAAAGTAGTAAGACTGCCAAGTGTCGTGATGCACACTTGTAATGCCAGCACTTGGGAGGCTCTGTAGGAGGGTAGCCAGGAGTTCAAGGCCAGCCTGAGCTGCATAACGATACTAGCTGCAAAAAAACAGAATGGCAAGACCAAGGGAATAGGTGTGCTCTACATGTGGAGTATTCAGAGGGAAAACCAATGGCAATGACAGTGTGTCTTTTACTTCAATAAAAATATTGTGTGTCTCTAGGTAAGGCGCCATTAGGTGCTGTAATGTTAGTTACACCCATATATTTTGATTTTACCTCCTTTCTGCCACCTTCAGCAAGCTCCACTTCCTATAAGTACTGTCTCAAAAATTACCCACTTCTCTAACATATAGCGTGATTCTTGATTTTCTCTGTGACATAGTTTTAGTTATTTTTCTCTTAGTAGTAAATAATTGATAACTTTTAAAGTGTACTACAAGGGTATTTTTATGTTTAAAAGAGAATATATACTGGAAAAAATTTGGAGAGAAATTTTAAGGCAGGTTAATTCCTAGCATATGTAGTGTATGACAGTGTTTAATTCATCTCCAATAAGATCAGCCCTTCTAACTTCTAGATGGTCAAAAATACCCAAGGCACCTCCTCCTTTTCTCATTGATGGCTCTTACAGAGGATCAATAGCTGTGGTTAAACAGGGTTATCTTGTGTTTCTACATTGAGTGCTACCACACAATTGTAGTCACTGTGGAGGACCTCTGTAATTTTAACTCAGTATTACCATCCATTGTTCCTTTCGGATACAAATGAAAACATTTACAGACTTTCCCTTGGTTATAAAAACATTGTAAGTATCTAGGTAGGATGATATTAGGTGTTGCAACTTAGTTAGCTGGGTTATAATAAGTTAAAATCTAATAAAATTTGTTTTTCTTTCATAATAACCAAAGTCATCTCTGAAACGTATCTCAACGATAGTCAGTGGCTTCATATAAGATTCTTTGTCACAAGTAGTGACCATCCTACAACCAAAATAATCTCCTATTATGCCCAGGATAATTGATGTTTTCTTTTGGCTTCGCTCACTGCTTCTTGTAAAAAGCCTTAGAAGCCAGAACAAACAGAAAACGATTTTTTTTTTTTTTTTTTTTTTGGTCTTTTTGAGACATTGTCTCACTATGCAGTTCAGGCCAGGCTTGAGCTATTTGTAGCCTAGGCTGGTCTTGAACTTGCAAGGATCCTTCTATTGCAGCCTTCCTAGCCCTGGGATTATAAGCATCAGCCACCATGCCTGACTCCAGGAAAAGAAATCTTTGAATACCTGAGAACAGAGTAATTGAATTCTCACATTTTATCAGAGGTTATTTTTCTCTCCTTTTTATCCTGCTTTTTACCTAAATTTAACAAAAATGTAGCTGTGCAGTTTTAATAAAGAAAAATGACCCTCAGCAGGACATTGCACTCTAACAGTAGAAAGAATTGTCCTTGAGCTTTATTTGAAGCAAAATATGCAAAGTGAATGATCTAAGAAAGTATAATATGTGGCCAGAATTTCTATCTGGTGTTCAGCTGTGTCTTTTAAGAGAACAGCACAATGAAAGAAGATGGTACTCATTGTTATAAAGGATTTACTTTTTTTGTATCGTAAACCACTAGAAAGAAGACAAATCAGCTTCCCTTAATCACATCTAAATACCTTTTCTGTGAAGGATAAGGAAATCCAATAATAATACCAGTCCATATACACAGCCGGTTAATATATTTCAAGTGTGCTTTAGAAACTTTTCTCAACTCAAAGTTGTCTTTAACCAATTTTAAAATGGATTTTCCTTTTAACTCTTCAAAATTTCCACAAGACTCCTTAGACTCAATACCACCTTATGTCAATTCAGTAGACTTTATAGATTGTAATATTCAGTTGTGAGAATCTTAGCTTCAACATCATGTGTAGCCTAATCCATACTTATTGATACTTATTCATTTCATTCTACATTCCGAATTTGTCCCTTGTCCACACCTCTGCCTGGCAAATTCCTCAGAGGTGTCATAGCTGCTTATCCAATTCAGTGTTTGCCAACTCCACATCACTTTGTCTTTATTATTAGCTCTCTTACAAATAAGGACACATTTTATAGTGAAGTTGCAAGCATCCCTCTGATCAGATTACAATCTCCTTAAGAACAAAAACCCTTTTGTTCATGTCTCCTCCAGTAGAACCTACCAGATAGCCTTGCAAACTGCAGGGTCCTGGTAAATGTAAATTGAGATAAAATGAAGTATCCACATGACTGATTACATAGTAAATGAAAATGGTACACTTCTGAAATCCTGATTAAAATTTTGCAGTCATAACTGATATGTAAGACAACAAGTAAGTGCTACATAACTTTTTGTTACACAAGAGAATTAAATATCTGTTTCTCTTTTAATTTTATATCTACTGCCCTCCATCATTGTCATCCCCCCAACATTAATTGCATTAATTACATTAATTTCTTTTTCAATTTCAGCATTATATCAAGAACTGCCTCCAGAGATAAAAGAGCGATCCCCTTCTTTGACCCTCAAGGAGAAAACCAAAACAGAGAAACCTTCAGCTCCTCAAAAGGTAAATGTTTTCAAAAGTATGTGTTGCATGTGTACTTTGATGTTTTTCACTCTTCTTATGTAAAATGCTTCTTTATTTTTCTACCTTTATAATCCTTATTTACATTTTTATTTCTCTGGTTCTTAACACCAACATTATGAAATATATAAGGCAAATTTTATGATAGTCATTTTCCACATAAACTGATGAGGCTCAAAGAGATTAAAGTAGACTGCAAGTTGCAGTCAAAGAGATGGAAGGACCCAAGTGGAACTTGTGCCTTCAAGTGTTTCTACTTGATACTCGTTTAACTGTGATATTGATTCTGCTGTCAGCCCCATCTAGGTTGTAAATATCTATGTCAGCGATCACTAAGGCCCAGTTTTATCTTAGTTGGAACATTTCTTCTACTTCTAAAACACTTTCAATTTAAAATGAATGTGGATATATTATGTATGTTAGTCTGCCATGAGATCCCTCAGACACCAGTCTACAGTTTTCTGATGTCAGTAGTACTCTGGTAAAAAAGTTTAATAAGCTCTGTATTATCATATGTACTGCCCATTAAACTGGTTTTATTATGTGACTTTCGATCTTGCCTTACACTGGATAGCTTCACTTTTTAAGTCTTTATGAACTCACAGATTAGCATAGGTCCTGTACATATCATTACAATGTCATGATTAAGGTTTTTGACAGTCATGCATCATCATTCAGTCATTCAGATATAGTTGTAGAATTCTTCCAGGCCAGGCAGCCTCTTAGTTCCCACTGAAACAGAGTAGACAAGGCCTTTATCCTTAAGGAGCCAAGGGGCTTATGAGTGAGACACCTATAAGCCAGCAATTACTATAGCCTACAGCCAGAGGTATAGTGGAGATGTGCACACAATACATCAGGAAAGGAACAGGCAGCTAGGAAAGCTTTAAATCTGCCCTAGGGACATCCAGGAAGTTTCCAGAGGGGAAAGTGGTTGGCCTGAAGCTTGTAGTATGAGAAAGCTTGTACCAGGTAGATAAATTTAGCAAAAATCATTCTAGAGAGGGGATAACTTGAGTAAGGCATGGTATGTTACAAGCGTGTTTAAAAAACATAGGTCTAATGGAGAGAGATAGGCAAAGGGTGTTAGAAAAGCAAAAGCCAGGCCCCAGAGAGTGTGATATACTGTACTAATTAAAGTGCCTAGTATTTATCCTCTAGACAGAGGGGAGAGCACAAAGGAAGTCACTGAAGGAATGAAATGAAAGGATCTGAATGTTATAAAGATCATATTAGTGTCAGCACAGTGGTTTGATTAAAAGTAGTAGCAAGACCTAGTGCAGTGATGGCAAACCTTTTTGAGACAAGGATCCAAACTGCAACCCAAAACCCACTTGCTTACCGCACAGTGCCAATGCAGCAATTAACCCTGAGTACTGAGGTTGTAGTTTAGGAAAAACAGCTCATGTATTAGCATCTTTTGCTTTAAAAGCATGTCATAGGTTGACCACCACTGACGTAGTGCGAGGAAATTAGGACCCATAAAATATAAAATCCTAATGCTTGGGATCAGTTGTAGAGCATGCCAAGGCTGGGTTCGATCCCCAGCACCACAAAAAAGGGAGAGTTGTGATCAATTGGATGTAATTAGTAAAGTTGGAATCTAAGATTTTGCTAGGAGTCCTGGCTTACATAAGTGCATAGATGGCAGTGCCACAGAAATAATGAAATAAGCTAGAAAGATTTGGGGAAATACAAACAAGGGATAGTGAGGACTGGAAAATAAGTTCAATTTTAAGTATCTCTTTGTTATTCATATCTTCAGTACTCAAATAAAAATATTCACAAGGGTCCAGAAATGCAGGATTAAAAATTGAGCAGAGGCAGAACTTCAAAATCAAAAGAAGAATTAATATATTCTTTGTATATCAGTAAGTAGAAGCTTGTAATGAAGGCAGTAGCTCAGAAACATAGTTGTTGAATTCTTAAAGTCAAAGACAGAATCCAGTTGAACAGTAGATTAAGGGACATCAAAGAAAGAAAACATTAAGAAAAAATAACTAAAGGAAAAGAAAAGAGCCAGATAAAAGTAGGACTCTAGAAGGTAGGCTAGTGGAGAAGAGAGGCTCAGGAGAATATGTTTGGAAAGCAGCTAGCCATTAGGTTGTCTAAATATTTAGTAATCAAGAGGAGTGTGGTAGTTTTACAATGTATCTGTGGATTGACAAGAATTCAAGGGCAGACTGAAGGTCAGTGCTGCAGCCAGTGAACTCATGGAAGTCATTCTCAGTGCGTCACTATGAAGACTAAAAGATAATCAAATAGTGACTGGAGAGAGAATTGGCATCCACGAATTTTTGAAATATTGGAGAGACACATAAAATCTTATATTAAGGAAACAAAGCCCATGGACAGGTTCGAGATAAATAAAGGACACTGTAATTGTCTACTGTGATGTGTCAACCTGAGTGGATTAAAAAAACACCTGGTGGATTAGTGCAGCACAGTTCTGGGTGTGTCTGTGGATGACTAACGTGGGCTGCAGACCAGGGGGAAAACTAGAGCCAGATGTGGATAGCATCAACCAGTAGGCTTGCGGCATGGATAAAAAAAAGGGAAAGAAGAAGGAAGTCTTCCTTTTGCTTCTTAGCCATTGTAGAGTCACTGTCTTTGCCATTGCTGTTGGAAGTCTGTCTCTCATTACTTCGGGCTGTCAACGCAGAAGTGCACTGACCTCTGCAGTGAGCTTCAGACCTCCTACCTTCAACTGGACGCGCTGGTCCTCCAGCAGACAGATGACTGGTGCCTTCTCCCACCTAACTCTGCAGGTGGCCATAAGTAAATCATTTATATGAACACACACATGCATGCACACACACACATTTTATTAAATCTGTCCTAGTGAATTCTGATACAGTCACCAAGGACACAATTTTGGAAGAAGCAGGAAATTTTCTATCAGAAAGCAGGTTGATAGTTATATCTTGACTCAGAGCTGTGGCTTCAAATTTATGGTGATTTTTGCCTCTCAGGAGTTATTTGGCAGTGTTTGGACATTTTGTTATCTCAGTTACAAGGACAGAGACCCTATTGCCTTCTAATGGATTTTGCTCAGCCACCTAGATGCAAAAGACAGCCTTCTCAACAAAAAATTTCTAGCAAAAAATACCAGCAGTACCAACTAAAAGAAATATCCCCCACAAGATAGTAGATATGCATGAGGGGTGCAGATAAGTCAAAATTTAGAAATCTAAAGATATCTTTATGTTCTCCAAAACAAAAGGCATGCCTCACTACTAATGTAGATGAGAGGGAAATGAGTGATATAGGAGCTCAAGGAAAAGAGAGCTGGTGTGAATACCTATAAAGAAGATAGGAGGAGCAGGAGCTCATTTGAGACATGTAAGAAAAATTCCTCAGAATTTCTGGGAGCTGTGGTCTGAATACCACAGAAACCTGGAAGCTATGATCTAGACACCACAAATCTATGTAGTTGGAATTTTTTTTCTTCAATACTGCTTGGCATCTAGAAAACGCAATTGCAGTTTGCTGTATAACTGAAGAGTGTGTATGTATATGTGTGAGAGAGAGACAGAGACAAAGACAAAGAGAGCAAGAAGGCAAGAGCCTTGCAAAGAGAGTCATTAGAGTGATACACTCTGGAGGATCAACCAGATTGCAGAGTTTGGAAAACCAAGAGAAGACTGACAGACTTAGAAAGCCAAGTTCTCTACAAGACTGCAGTAAACTACCCACACCTGGGTGGAAACATAGAGGTACACAGAGTCAGTAAGCTGGGACTATTATAGCATTTAAGGCTAGGAACTTACTATTTCAGTTATCAAGCATGCTCTGTTAATATCAACTCATAAAGTATGTAGAAAAACCAAAGGACACATTAGAATTTAGCTGAGTAAGGAATTAGAACTCTAGAGTGTTGGACAGCTTGTACTCTTGAACATTAAAACTGCAGAGCAGGGGCTAGGGAATTAGCCCAGCGGTGTAAGCACCTGCCTTGCAAGCAGGCTGTTGTGAGCTCAATCCCCGGTACCGGAAAAAAGAAAAAAAATTTTTAAAAAACTGCAGAGCAGTAACAAAACTGTAATAAACGGAGAATTGGTGAAATAAGAGCTGATCTCCTAAATTACTGTTTTGGAGCATAGGTCTGAAACTTGGCTAAGGAATTAATGCAGTAGAAACATTTATAACGTTGCCATGAGAAGTCATTATAACAGCTAAGATTTTTAGCCTCCTTCTGAAACTCTGAGCTGCTGTGAAAGCTACAGCCTTTACTTGTAGTGACTTACTGGCATCCCTGACTTTACATCAGATTGGCTAATTTTGAGGCTGACCAACCCCCTCTTCTAAGTGTTTTCCTGTCCAGTACCTGAAAATGAATCCTCCTCAGCTAGAAGAGATAAAAGGAACTCTCAGTTTCTTACTGGCTACCTATGAAATTGGTAATTCCTTTCATCTTCTGACGTGTCTATGTTCCTTAGGCTGAGGACTCGTTGCTTCTGAGACTCCCAAGTTTGCACTGTCAGTCCCACTCCTCTGATTAGATGGATTCACTGCCTGCTGGTCCAGTTCAGACTGTAATATTTTTAATTGTGTGCCAATCTTCCCTTATAGACTGATCTTGTTCTTTAAACATACCTTTATATTTTTCTCCTAGCAGATTAGGTCTTCAAATAGCCTGCTTAACCCTATAGGTCTGCCTCAGGCTAATTCCACTGGTATCAAACCCTATTTTAATAATTCTCATGGAATTTATACACATACAAAATAAAATATTTTTTAAATGAAATAGGACTAGGATAAAAGGTGTCTTAGTAGTAAAGTGGATGGCTTGATCCCCAATATAGTTAAAAGTAATAATAAAATTAAGTAAAGCAAAAGTGTTGCAAAGTATAAAAATTCCTTTGAATAAATGAAAAGTTCTCATGGGGGAAATAGAGCTTTAATTAGGCTCCTCACTTCCTCATTCCTGAACGTTGTACCTAAACTGTATCCCCAGGCCTGAAAACTGTAATTTAATCTCCTTTATCAGAACTGGTATACTGGAGTAAGGGGCTGAGTATATAGCTCACTGATAGAACATCTTGTCTGTCATACACAAGACCAAAGTCTCTAACTCTGTTGCCACAAACATAATAATAAAGAATGGAAGCCTTCATATATTTCTCCTCCTAGAAATGCACTATGTATTTACTTCCCTGAGGGAAAAAGTAAAAGGAATCATCTGTACTTAAAAAGAACTCCCTGAGAAGCATAATACTTCCCCAGGCAATTAAAATGCTCTGAGTACACTGTGAATCATGAAGCTAACAGCCAACCATTGAGAAATGTGAAACTGAGCTTCCTTCGCACCTGGCTAGTTGCATTTTTAAGTTTAGTTCCTTTATCAAAGTATAGATGGTTTGATTTTTATCAAGAACCTGTCTTATAAACCTATACAAAGGCTATCAGATGTTTAATTTCAGCTGCAAGTCTTGTTTATCATATGTAAGATTTTTTTCTAAAAAACATGAAAAGTAGTCTCTATATGATTTTTTTCTAAAAACATGAAAAGTAGTCTCTGATAAGTGAGTAGGATTGTGAAGGGTCTAAATTTATAGGAATATAATATATAGAATAAATGCTGAGGAAAATATCTTAAGAGTTCATCACTGATAATTCTAGTCAACTCCTTCATTTAATGGAGACATTACAATCCAAAAAGTTATGAGAAATCCATTTAGTATGACACCGCCAATTAAAAGCCTGACCTCCATGTTCTCAGACCCGTGACTTTCCTTCCACCAGCCAGTCAGTGGCAGTTACTACCGTACAGTTACTTAGATTATATAATATCACAGTAGTTTTTAACATTCCTGTTTTTTGTTTGTCTTGTGTCCTTCTTCAGGTGGTAATTCTAAGAACTGTATTCTTTATACTTTTGCTTTTATTTTGTGTTCTTTTCTTTGTTTCCTGAGGGTCTCCCTATGCTGCCCAGGCCAGCCATGAGTTCCTAGGCCAGAGCCTCCTGCCTCAGCCTCATAAGAACTTGGTACCATCATGCATATCAATATACCCAGCCATATTCTCTGTATTTTTAAAGAAATATGGAAGCCTCAGTTGGTTTTTTTGTTTGTTTGATTGTTTGTTTTTTAAAAGTATTTCTATTCAAACTATAGAATAAGAAGTAAATTGTACCTTTTAATAGGTTGGCAGCTGCCACATCTTACAAATTCTTCCCAGTGGAACACACCTGCTCTATTGCCAGGTACCTTCCAGCATTTCATATGGCTCATTGGAATGTTAGTAGCTAATGGCATTGTGTGCTGCTGGCTCTCCCACTTTAGGAGGAGGTGGCAAGTCTTGGGCTATTTGCCATGACAGACCAAAGATTCCCCAGATAAAGTAGTAACTACTTACAAGGATGTGGGGATGGGAGTGAGACAATGCTCTCTCCAGGCTGATTCCAGAAGCTTTTTAAAGAAATGTGCTGCAAATTTTCGCCTGCAAGAAAAAGAGAATAGACTACTTCTGCTACCAAAAAGAAAAAACTTTGAAGCTTGAAAAAATCATGCTGACAATTTGCTTTTATGTTTTTTTTTTGTATTTAGAAATGTTTTTGTTTCTAGGCTTTTCAGTCTAGTATTAATCTGTATGACACATTTATTTGGGAGTATTATTAAAATTTCTTACAACTTTTAATTATTTTAATATAGTCCCTCTAAAAGTAATATATACTTGTATTTTTAAAAATTCAGCCTTGCAGAATAGTGTGAAATGAAAGTATTCCTTCCTGCAAATAATCATGTTCATTCTAACAGTTTCTTGTATATCTTTCCAAAATGTTCTGTACTTTTGTGAACAGTAATAATTAATGGTTTTGCTATTCCAAGAATGTAAGAATATCTGCTATTGCTCATCTTCACATGAGAGTTTTAATTTTTTTCATTGGTTTACTAAGCATGTAGAGTCAATAAGAGCAGATAGGCTGAATCCAAAAGAGCTGGCTCCTAAACCAAAGTACTTACTAGTTATATTCAGAAACAGCTGTTTTCTTGTCTGATCCAAAACAAGAATAGAGAACCCAAAAGCATCAAATAATTCCATGGGAGTTCCTTTCCAGCCAAACACATATCCACAGAAAATTTTGCATTGGTAGTTATGTCAGCCTCTTAGAAAAACAGTAGCCAATAAATAGATTGCTTTCAGTGTTCAGTCTTCAGAGTATCTAATAATTGTGCTGTATAACACTATATTTTCAAAAGTCCCACTTTACTGTTCCTTGTACCAGGAATGAATCTGAATTATTCTTCATCATAAAAATAATATGATTTTTATTATTGTATTGTCTAATAAATTTATACTAGTGATTTTATTTTTTGAGATAGGGTCTTGCTACATAGTTCAGCCTGACCTTGAACTCACTGTGTAGTCCAGGTTAGCCTTAGACTCACAGCAATGCTCCTTCCTCGGCCTCCTGAGTATTGGAATTACAGGCATGTACTAACATGCCCATCTCAGTAGTGATGATTCTTGATATGGGGAAATGAATTTTATAAATACCTAGAAATTAGCTATATATGCTAAGTCATTGAAACTACAGTCACAATTACTGCTTTCTTCTTATTACTAGTTCTGTTTACCAAAAGGTATAGAGATTTATCTCTAATTTATTAAATAAATAATAAATAAAAATAGGTTTGTGCGTTGAGTTGCTTTTTTGTTTTTGTTTGTTCGTTTTGTTTAGACAAAGGCTCACTCTGTAGTGCAGGCTGGCCTTGAACTCTCTTTTATGTAGCCCAGAGTGGCCTTGAATTCATGGCAAGCCTCTTGCCTCAGCCTCCAGAGTGTGAGGGTTACAGGTGTGTGATAACAACAATTTTAACTAAAATATTAATTTCAGACCAAGTCTATAACACAGTGATACTACTGTACTTGCCTCCCATGGATGAAGTTCTGGGTTCAAACTCCAGTACCACTAAAATAGATGGATAGGTAGATTGATAGATACCATATAAATGTTATTTATATTTTTAAATTATGTTAATATTGAGTTTAGAACAGTCCCACAAGTAACTAGGTGGATATATGACAGTGATATGACAGTAGAGCCAGTATGCTCTGCTCCCAACCATATTCCACTCTCGACAGTGCAGACCCCATCCATGGCCAGCATATAGCTGGCCTGGGAAGCATGAGATCATGAGTTCAATTCCCAGTACCAAAAAAAACAAGGTCCTGCACATTCTGCACAGAAGACTGTAAAAGTCTTCAGAGGTCCACAGAGTCTCTCCCATCCCCTGAAAGGGACCTACAAGGTCTGGAGCATGGAAGGTCTAGTGCTGGTTTTGCCATTTCTCCTTTGCCTGTGCCTCCACATTCCCTTGTTTCATGGGCCTCAGCCTCTGCATCTTCCCTCGGCCTAATCCCTGCCTCTCTCCTTATTGCCAGGACCTCAGACTCAGCAGTGAGACCCTGTAGGCTGCTTGTTTTCTCAGCTTTTCTAGCCTCAGGGTAGCAACCTAGACAATTTCCACAGGTTCCAAAGGAGCTATGAGAAAGTTCCTGTATTGGTCAGGGTTTTACTAGAGAGAACAGATATAACCCGGGATATACAGAAACAACAAGATTGGCTTATGATAGTCAGTCACAGAATCCGATGAGGAAATGTGCAGAGGATATCTATGCATTGGAGGCCAAAGGATTCAATCCAAGGTCTGGAGTTTACCCTAGCGTCTTGTGCAAGTCCACACCAGTAGGCTGATGGGTCTGTGACCGAAGGCCGAAGGCTCTGTGATGAAAGGCTGAAAAGTCTATGCTGGAAAGCTGAAGAGTCTATACTGAAAGCCAGGAGGCGAGGTCCAAACCAAAGGCGAAGACTGGAGCTTCTCCCAAGAATGGCATGGAATCATCCTTTCTTCTCCCCTTTTATACCTCGAGGTGATAACCCACCCAAGGGTGGGTCTTATTCTACATCCTTGGGTGTAGAATTGCTAAACCCATTTAGTTAGCTTCTAGTTGTCTCAAGTTGACAAAATCAATCAACCACTACAGTTTCTCTGTAGCTTCTCTCCAAAATCAGTCAGAGAAAAAATGTTCATTAATTAAAAAAATAACCTACAGTGAATTTGTTTTTCTACTTTATGGTAGCCGCTCCTTCTGTGTTCCTGATTTGAGTCTCTGAGCTCAGATTTCATTTTCTTATACAGATCTTCCATGAAAATCCATCTGGGGGCAGGCACAGCAGTACATTGTTGAATGATGACTAAATCTAAGAGTATGAAACACATGATGTTCCACAGGGTCAAACTGATGTTCTACTTGGTCCAGCACTCTGTCTGACAGTGATTCTAAGGACTGTGATAGAATTAAGATGATATTTTCCCTGCTACGCAGGAGGCTGAAAAGATCACTTGAGCTCAAGAGTTTGAAACTAGTATGGTCAACATAGCAAGATCCTGTCTCAAAAAAAAAAAAAAAAAAAAAAACCATAATATTGTCTTTTCATAATGATGTTTCCAGAGGATAACCTAAATGTCAGTGACATTTCTCTTAAAATCTATTATAGATCTAAAGAGGTAATGGAAGCACTTGTCACTAATCATTGTCATAATTTTTCTTTAGATAGTGGCAGAATTATTATCAGTCATCATCTCTTCTGACTTACAAGCAAGCAGTGTGACCTTTTTCTGGAAGTCCTCTGACAGCCCAATTCTGCTGTCCTCTTGTTAATCTCCATACTTCAAGATTTCATATCTTCAGCAGTATTGGCACTTGGTCGTTAGAAATATGTGGTACATTCTGGACATTTAACAGTATCAGCAGCTACATTATCCACAAGATGCCAGAGTACCTTCTCCTAGTCATGTTAGTTAAAAGTATATCATACAGACATTTCTAGATTTTCTCAGCGCATCAAAATGACACCCACTTCCTAGTAAAGAACCTTTGCTCGAGACAAGTGCAATGGTGCATACTTTAATGCCAGTACTCAGTAGGCTGAATCAGGAGGATCACTGTGAGTTTGAGGCCAGCCTGGGCTGCATAAGGATCTTGTCTCAAAAAAAGAATCATTGCTCTGTTTCAATAGGAATATATATATATATATATATCATATATATATATATGATATATATATCATATATATATATATATGATACATGTTTTCCCTTAAATTATACTTCTTTTGAAGTTCTGTTAATAGAACTTTATTTGTATTTATTTCATTATCTTCAAGTGTAAGAGTATTAGTATTGGAGTTATACGTGTGTGGGAGACCCTGGGTTTGATCCTCAGTCCTGAAAGAATAAAAAAACTTTGTGTAAAGATGTATCCAGGCATGTGAGGCTCAAAGTGATGAGTATATATAAAATGTCTTAATTAAATTTAGACTTTCATTGACTACTGTGTATGTCCTTTGCTTAAGAAATTAACTATATGCAAATATTTGCATAAATCATAGAAAATTAGCTGTATAGGTAATCTGGTAGTTACTGCTCAGCATTCATAGTAATGTCATAAAAGTCACTAATTTTAATATAGTCATTTAGGAAACACAATCTTTTCTTAGTTGTCACTTTTATGCAGAAATCAGGCATGTAGTAAAAGATCTTTTTGAGCATACTGGACAAATTTGCTCATCATTTTTTTACTTGAACTTTTTTGAACTTAATGAGTGTTTTCTTTTTACCCGTGTTACTGTCCCCATCACTGTATGTATTTAAGCAGCCACCTCCTACATAAAACATTTTTTTAAATGTACCTTAACACAGAGGGTTTCCTGATGGTTTCAGCAACTTGACTGGGGGAACTTGATTATATGAAAATATTTATTATTTTCTGTAGAATTACTCCATAATGATGGGATATTAGGGAATAGTTCAGTCCCAAAGGAGGAAGTAGATGACCCCAATGACTCCACATTTTGCAGGACTTATATAAAGTGGGGTACCATTCCCGTGTTCTCTTTCGCCTTGGTTCTCTATAGTCAGCTTTCCTTCTTCCCAAACCAGGTCACTTGGACTACCAGGAAATAAGTACATGAAAGCAGCATTATTTAGCACGTTGATGCCAGATATATAAATAGCACGTTGAGTGTGCAACTTGGTCTTACCAGTCCCCTAGCCTGTGTGTAAACCATTTGTCTGTTTTTTCCTCACTGGTACTCTGGTATTTAACCATTGCTTTAAAAAGAATCACATTACTGTTTTGACTGTCTCTGTATCAGGTTTGTGATTACCTGCCTCAAAGAGGCCCATGGTCTTGGTCACCTTTTTTTTTGTTCTTTCCATTTGACTCACTACCCTATTCTCTAACACCTGGTCAAAAATAATGTCCACACTTCTCAAGTTGCTAACCTCGTATTCCAAGTTGATCATGGTTGCTGCTCTTTAAAGAGATGCCATTTAACATAAATTTCCTCAAATTTTTATTCTTACTTCCTCTGTATTTCTATAATGTTACCCACCTTCTGCAACTGTTTGTAAAATGCAAGTACAGTTCAACATATGGAAATCAGTAACTACAATACATCTTATAAACAAAAGGAAAGACTTTGAACTGGGGTGGGGGAGTGAGGAAAGAAGGTAAAAAGAAAAAAGGATAGAAGGGAAAAGTAGAAACAAAGCTTTTGTAAATAAGGAAGGAAAGAGAGGTTAAAAGGAGGAGAGGGAAAAGGAAAAAAAGAATTCAAGATATATCATGTACAGGTACAAGTTTCATATAATGAATGTTATCATTCTTTGTATCCAAAATGTACCAGTAAAATTAATTTTTAAAAACTTTTTTCAAATTCAACATCTCTTGATAATTAAAAAAAAACAAAAGAAAACTCTTTAATTGGGCATGGTAGCACACATCTGTAATCCCAGCCCTTGGGAGGCTGAGGCAGGAGGATTACTGCAAATTCATGGCCAGCCTGCACTATAAAGCAAGATCCTGTCTTAGGGGGAAAAAAAGCTGAAGAAAATTGGTATAGAAGGACCTTATCTCAATCTGACAAAAGCCATTTATAAGAAACTGACAGCTGGGGCCAGGGATATAGCTCAGCCACATAAGCACCTGTCTGGCTTGTGCAAGGTCCTGAGTTCGATTTCCAGTTACCCCCCCCCCACAAAGACAGAGAGAAAGACCAACAGTCAGCATCATACTAAATAGGGGAAAGCTAAACACTTTTTCTAAATTCAGGAACAAGACAAGGGTGTTCACTATTAGTGCGTCAATAAAGTTCTTGGAAACATTAACCAGAAGAGTCAGGCAAAAGAAAAAAAAATAAATGGATATTTCATGGTTTCTCTTACATGAGAAATTACAAAGAACAAAATAAAAGACAAAAAAATGGGAAGTAAAAAGATAGATCTTTCTCAGGAAGGGGATCAAGAGTTGGAGAGGAGACAGAAGGCAGGGAAAAGAGATGAAAAAAGGAATTAAACACCAGCTAAACATAAAAAAATGGAAGCATTATGTATTGCAAATGTGCACTAATAGAAAAAGAAAATTAAATTTTAAAAATCAACAAAGGTATATGTACAGGAAAGGAAAAAGTAAAATTATCATTATTTGCAGATAACACAATCCTCTACATAGAAGACCAGAAAATTCCACTGAAAGGGTCCTGGAATTCATAACCAAATTCACTAATGTAGCAGGAGACAAATTAACACACAGAAATTAATAGCATTTCTGTATATCAGTAATGAAAAAGAAATTAGAAAAATAGCTGAGTGTAATTCCAGCACTCAGGAGACTGAAACAAGAGGATCACAGCAAATTGAAGGCCACCCTGAGCTACATAGCAAGACCCTGTCTCCAAAATAAATACACTTACATACAGACGGACAAACAATACACTCCTGTTCACAATAGCATCAAGAAAAAATAAAATATTAAAAGGAAATAAAGGGTTATTAACCTAACCAAGAAATTAACCTAAGCAAAGAAGAGAAATATAGTGAAAACTACAGTGCTCTGATAAAAGAGATTTAAGAGGAGATCAGAAAATAGAAAGATAACTGCTTTTCCTGGGTAAGGAGAACCAATACAGTCAAAATGGCCATAGTTCCAAAACTCATACTATAGATAGCTTTACTAGAATCCAATCACAATACCAACAGCATTCCTCATAGGACTAAAGACAGTCCTATAATTCATGTGGAGCCAGAGGATGCAGAAACAACTCCAGCCATATTAAGCTACCTGATCTGTGACAAAGGAGCCAGAAACATGCTACAGGAATGATAGCCTCTTTAACAAATGGTGCCGGGACTTCCAGGAGAACATGGAGGATAGATAGCAGCAGCTTCGGAGGCTCTCTGAGAAACCGCACTTAAAATCCAGGAATGGTGCCGGGTGAGAAGTACTAAGCAAGCGGAGATATACTTTGCTGACCCAGGAACGAACTAAACTAAGAGAAACCAACTGGAAACACAATCCTGGTGATACAACAGGATCAGATAAAGTCTCAGCTTGGAAGCTGGACCCTGTGCCACTGGAAGCTGCGATTTGAATTTCCTGCAGCCACTGCTACGTTCTAAACGGCACAGCAAGGAGAGAGGCGTGAAAGCTCTGAGAGTGGAAAGCGGTGAATGGAGTTGAGAGCGGGACTAGCCGGGAGCCCTGCATCGACCTGTGGTGAGTGAGCAGATCGGGGACCCTTCCATAAAGTAGGAGGCTTCAGCAAAGGGCATAGTGGGACTGGGCAAACTAGCTGGAACAGGATGCTGAAGTGACTTCAGTCACATATTCCCCTCTGAAGCGCGATTGGTGGCGAGTGCCTGGCTTGGGTGATGCTGCTAACTAAGACCAGTAAGCTAGCTCAAACCAGGTTCCAGCACCTGGAGGTGCACCTTAGCAGTGAAGCCTTCCATAGGTTGACCTGGAGGGGTGGGCCCAGCATAGGCTGCCCAGGTTTGTGTCTCCCTAGTACACTGCAGTGGGCAGGAACACCTAGCCGGTGCAATTCAAACAAACTGTAACTGACTAAGAAAGAAACTGGGCCTCCTATATACGTTTGTATAAAAGGAACAAAAAATATGGGAAGAGGGAGCAACAAGAAAGGGTCCTCGGCCCCCAATCCTGAGAAACATGCGATATCAGACACGGCACCAATAGACATAAAGTGCTATCTCCAGAGCCTCATAGACAAGTTCACAAATGAAGTTATTAACGACTTGAAGCAAGATGTAAGTAGAAAAGTTAGAGAAATGCTAAGCACTGCCCAAGAAAAAACAGATGGTGGAATGGAAGAATGGAAAAATGGAAAAAAAGGGGAGAATTGTTTGATGGAGAAAAATAGAATACGTGAAGCAGGTTCAAAGAGATTACCAGGAAACTAAAAATTCTATTGAAAACTGGCATAACAGCTTGAAAAAAACTAAGGATAGATTATCTGAACTGGAGGGCAGATTTGTAATATGGGAGCATGAAATGAAAAACTTCTTAAAAATATAAAAAAAGGGGCTGGGGATTTAGGTCAGCGGCATAAGCACCTGCCTTGCAAGCAGGCAGTCATGAGTTCGATCCCCGGTACCAATAAAAAGGAAAAAGACAAAATAATAATAATAATAATAAATAACAAAAAAACAGCAGCAATACAAAGGCTAGAAAATGATAAGAGGGTCTATAACTTAAGAATTAAGAACATAAGAGAAGAAGTAGGGACACAAACAAATGGACTACAAAAGCTATTCACAGAAATAATCAAAGAGAATTTCCTTAATTTAGAAAATGGTAAAGATACTCAGATATATGAGGCATACAGGACCCCAGCCACCTACAACCCAAACCGAGCTACACCCAGGCATATAATAATCAAAATTCTAGAAATCCAATATAAGAACAGAATATTAAAAGCCATCAGAGACAAGAAACAGATCACTTACAAGGGAACACCCATCAGAATTACAGCAGACTTCTCGGCACAAACCATCAAATCACGAAGAGCATGGGGGGAAATAATTCAAGCTTTGAAAGATAATAACCTCCAGCCAAGACTGATACATCCTGCCCAACTGTCCCTAGAAATTGATGGAAAAACAAGGTGCTTCCAGGATAAAGAGGAACTAGGGGAATTTGCAACCACCAATTCAACTCTACAGAGAATACTGCAGGATATTCTAAAAAAGGAAAATACCAAGATTCCAGAAATAGTGGCAGAGAGGCCACAATGAATGGAGCAGAAAGTGAAATGAAGAAGACAAACTGACAACAAACGACAGAAAAAGATCTCAACAGAAATGAGGCAGAGAAGGTTGGATGGTAGAAACAGCTAATTTGGAGAAAACAAGACATCATAATAGCTAGTGCAGATTCAGTATCATCTTGCTTTGAAGTCCCATCAAACTTGTATTCTTCTGTCTCCATAGGTCTTAAAAAGTTGTATCTTATTGGATTTTATTGTATATGATAATATAAGCAAAAACTTTTATAGACAAAGAGATTATAGAGAAACCATTGTTCATTTTCTGTTAACTGGTTCTAAATACCCTGTAATAATGTCATTCTCTTGAATGGTTTTATAGGGTCTTGATATGTTTAGTGCTACGGTATACGAAGTTATACTCAAAGATTTCAAGGAAAGAGACACTATGGTAACTATGTTTATGTCAGGATATCTTGCGGTAAAACACTATTTTGCTTAAATGGTTATGTTTTGATCTGTGCTGTTCTGTTGTTATGCCCTCTTTTATCTCAATCCCCCTTTTTTTTTAATTATTTACTTTTTTATTTCTATCTTTTTAATTAAGGGAAAAATAAATAAAAATAGCAGGATATATTATGGTAACCTACTTTGATTTCCTATTAACTTGATTTGAAATCCTGTACTGCCCTCACCATCTTGTTTTAACTGATTTTCCCCTATTCTGCTTTGCTTGATAGTACCAAGTTCGAAAGTATAGGCAACAACTGTGAAGACAGTAAGATTCATTATGACACCCATTCTGGTTGACTGGTACCTTCTTTTAAAGTCCTATAATGTCTCCAATGCTTTGGTTTTATTCTTTACTGTTTTGTTCAATTTTATTACAACTGGCAATTCTTAAAATAGCAAGAGGCAGTATGGTAACCATTGTTGATCACCTTGTATTTTGTTTTTACATTATCTATTATGTCCATCCTTTTGATTTGACTGACTCTGTTCTGATATGTCGCAATTTGGTTTTACTCTTCAAAAAAAGTAATAAGAACTGTGGGAGTAATAAAACCCAAAATGTGTAATTGTCATTGTACAAAAGAAAAGAAAAGAAAGTGCTCTAAAGGTTATAACTGCATATATGTTTAAGTGTATAAGATAAATAACCATATTACTGAGGTTTTTTGGATCATTGAGCAAAACTGTTTGCACTCTCACTGTTTGAAAGTCCACTTTATATGCTTTAATTTTGTAACTTGAACAACTATTTCTAAGATGAGAATATGTAGGCTATTAACTAGTGATTTCTTACTGTCATTTTTTACATTTTTTATTACTTGTACCCTTTTTTTGTTTTATTTTTCTTTTTCTGTTAAAAAAAAACGGTGCTGGAAAAACTAGTTATATACACGCAAAACATTGCACCTAGACTATATATCTCTCACATATACCAAACAAAAATAAGAATGGATAAAAGATCTAAATGTTAAAGCAGAAACAGTCCACTAGACTAGGTAAAACTCTTGAAGACATAGGTTTAGGCGAGGACTTTCTGAATAGAACTCCAGTTGCACAAGAAATAATACCAAGAACCAACAAATGGAATCATACCAAGTTTAAAAACTTCTGTGCAACAAAGCAAGCAGCCGAAGTGTGAGGAGACAGCCTACATATGTACTCAGATATAGAATCAGAAAAAACTTGTGCCAACTGTTCCTCAGACAGAAGTGTCTACTATATGTAAAGAACTCAAAAAACTGGACCCCCAAAATAAGACCCAATCGAAAAATGGGCAACTGAAACAAATAGACACTTCTCAGAACCACAAATGGCCAGTAAATACATGAAAAATGTTCAACATCTGTGGCCACTAGAAACATGCAAATTAAAACAGCACTGAGTTCCCACCTTACTCCAGAACAAATGTTTATAATCAAGAAATCAAATAAGAGCTAGAGATTTAGCTCAGTGGCATAGCACTTGCTGGCAAATGTGAGGCCCTAAGTACCATTCCCAGTATCCCTCCCCACAAAAAAGGAAATCAAATAATAACACATACTGTTGAAGCTGCAGGGGAAAAGAAACACTTCTGTACTATTGGTGGAAACATTAACTAGTATGACCACTGTAGAAATCTATGTGGAGAGTCCCAGAAAAACTAGAAATTCCATTTAGACTAGGCATTCGCCTTCTAGTTATCTTCCGAAAAGCATTAGATGTATTATAGTAGTACATACATACCCATGTTTATAACAACACAACTTATGACTAAATAATATATCCATAACAAATGAATAGATTAAAAAATGTGTTTATACACAGTGGAGTATACTCAGCCATAATTCATTTAGAATAGAGTATTCTTTGCCATATATTTGAGTCATTTTTAGGAAAATGGATGTACCTTGAAACACAGTGTAAGTGAAATATATCATACACACAAGCTTAAATCATACAGTCTCTCTTCTGTGGGAAACCGAAACCTTAAATTAAAGAACTAAATAAAAGATAATAGGTAATAGAGAGATAGATATTTTGCAAAAGGAATGAGAATGAAGAGATGGGAGGGACAGGAAGGGGCTGAAAAAAATTAAGTTGTGTTATGTGCATACACCAATTCCCCATGAAAATTGCAATCATATACTGCAAACATGTACTAATAAAAAGAACGTTTTTAAAAGGAACATGACTTTCTATAGCAGACCTCTCCACTTATGTTTCTTTTTTTTTTTTTCCACTTATGTTTCTGATCATTTTCCTATTCTATTCCTTTGGCCCTCATGCATTGATCTCAATCCTGGCTCCCTACCTATGTTAGCATCTCCATAATTTATTTGTTTAACAGTTTCACTGGATTCTTGTTTCCCCAGAACTGTGGTAGAATGATATCTGAATTCTATAAGTGAATAAATCAGAAATAGTCATTGTGTTTTAGCCTAATAAGTAAAAGTGACTTTAGTCAAATAATCAATTAGGACTAAACATGTAAGTGATGAGGGGATAGTGAATGGAAACTATGAGGCCATTTAGTGAGTAGTGGATTAGTTCTAAGGCGAGCTAGTTTTTAAGGACCATATTGGAAGGGTTAAAAGCATATGCGAAAATCTGATATAGCTTCATGTTGCATCATGGCTATAGACTAGGGGGTAAGGTTGGAAGGGGAAAAAGCTGAACCCCAATAAGTGGACAGGCTCAAGAAGGTCCCAGAGGGATTAGGGAGTCATCAAAGTATTTAAAGCAGAGAAATGACATAACAAATTGGCCATTTGAGAAGCTCATTCTAGGGCTAGAATGTAACTCAGTAGAGAGTTGTGTGCTTAGCGTTTGCAAGTCCCTGGGTTCAAGTCTTGGCACCAGCAGCAACAAACTGAAAATACAGTGTTTGAAAAGGCATTAATAAAGGAAATAAGACTAGTTGGGACTGTTGAAATGGTCAAGCCAGCTGAGCCTGGTGGTGCACACCTATAATCTCAGCACTTGCGAGGCTGAGGCAGAAGGATCTCCACAAGTTCAAGACCAGCCTGGGCTACATAGTAAGACACCATCTCAAAAAACCAACGAAGAAAGAAAAAAGTAATTAAAGCCAAAGTGGCATGAAGACTAAAGAAAAGAAATCTAGATTTTTAATTGGAACATCTTAGTGTACAAGACTATAGGAAGAACTTCAGCCTGCAGCACCTGTGCATCAGCCAGTTGCAAGTTACCTTTCCAGCGTCTGTGGTGCTCAGGAGAGAATCACTGAAAACTCAGATTTACAAGGTAATCTTGATGAAAATTGGTAAACCCAAGTGTGCGATCAGAAAAGTTTTGCTAAAAATCAACAAATGGCAGGTGACTTTGGAGAAAACTCAAGATCTCAGCTCAGAATATTGATTTATAAATCATGAGCACAAACATGCTGGCTGGGTCAGTAGGAATAGAAGCATGTAAAAAGTGAAAAAGGAAAAGGATGCTGTGGAAGATAAAGTCCAGCTAAGATGTTCCCTCCTCTCTGAATCCTCAGAAATCTCCAGTTACAAATCAAGGCCTCTCTCCCCCTTTTATCTTATTGTAATGTGTATCTCACTCTGCCTTGTTGGTTTTCTGCACATCTTTCCTCCATTAAATTACAATGTCTCCTGCTCCCACTTACTCAGCATTGCGTCCCCAGGGCGTCTGGCACAGTGCCTTTCTCATAGATGGGCTCCAGATGTATTTGTTGTTGGTCTTTTAATTGACACAGTTAATATCCAAAGCTACAATGTCATGAATCAAAATAATCTTCAGTCTTTGATCTAGGCTTTCAAAAAATACATCTTTTTTGGGGGGGGGGGGTTTCCTTTTTATTGGTACCAGGGATCGAACTCATGACTGCCTGCTTGCAAAGCAGGCGCTTATGCCGCTGAGCCAAATCCCCAGCTCCCAAAAAATACATCTTAATGTAAAAGATTGTTTTCTAAAAGAATAATATTATAATTGGGAGGTTTAGACTCAAATCAGATACATCATCAATAATAAATTCTTAAAGAATCAATTATAGTGCTGTGGAGATTGGGTAGCATTTCATGCCAGCCTACTTTTATCCAGAATCCTCCCACTTCATGTTTATGTATGAAGCTTTAAGTGTAAAACCAGGTGTGGTAGTGCATGCCTGTAATCCCAGCGCTCAGAAGGCAAGAGGATTACTGTGAGTTTAAGGCCAGCCTGAACTCTGTAACAAGACCCTGTCTCAAAAAGTCAAAAACTAAATAAATTCCTACAAAGTAGATATATA